TGATGATTTTTGAAATTTAACCATAATATTTGATTTGTAAAGTTATATGTTTATAACAAACGTGCAACTTTAGTTAGAGTAATATGGATACAACTAAACAAAATAGAAAAAAATGTATGATCATATTTGGTATTCATATGGATATAAATATAATTTTTATAAAGTAATTCACATCGGTAAATGATTTATCGTTAAAACATTATGTTATATAATTTTTAAATATTAAAATGTTATATTTTCGTTAGATTTAAATTAGTAACATATGTGTTTCTGAGTTCATATTAAAAAAAATGTAAATATGTAGAGATTTACAACATGTTATATATAATTAGTTAGATTTTTTTAATTGGTTAATTTAATTGATTTGTCCTTTAAAAATTTCATTGAGTTACACATAAGATTTTTTTTACTTAATAATGTCTCCTCAATTAGTATAGAAGATTATTTTTTAAAATATTTTACAAGTTTTATCCATAGGTAAACAATATGATTAACGCAAGTTCTATTTTAAATATTTAGACTCCGAATGTAAACATGCGAAAAGGAACGTAGATGTAAGAGAAACGAATTTGAGTAATTTTTAACGATAATTGTTACTTGAATTCGCCTATACCAATTAGTTCAAAAATATCCACTAGAAATTCGAATACAGTAATAAACACCATTTTTGCATGCAATTGGTGCATATGTATATAGACTTTATAATTTGAATCATATTTGTTCTTATATGGATTGGGTATTTGGGTGGCTAACTTTCTTAAAAGTTTCAAAATTATTCTTCACCCAAATTGCATATGATTTTCAAATTGTTTGAGACGAACTTTTTATTAAGTAAATAATTTTTAACTTTCGAGTAACAGAGAAAAAGAAGCATATGATGCAAATTGTACCATCGCAAGTGCAACCCCAAAATTCTTGCGAAACAATCATACCTAGCAAATCTAAAGTTATATTATTACTTTTTCGTTTTTCTAGTCTAAATTTTATTCATTAATGATAAAGATAGCATTCGATAATTAATTTAAATGTCCCATCTTTGCATTGTCGTTATTTATTCTCTCCTACATGTATATTAGTATTATATATCAGAAAATACCCACAAAGTTTGAGATTCCTTTCTACAAAAATAAAATTTCCCAATTACTAAAAAAGCTCCTTTTCTGCCGAAGAGAACCTAAAACTTTATTCCCAAAGTTCATCGAGCTTGAGCATTTTCATCGAATCACATAAGAGATGCTTCTCTTCTTCATCACAAACATTGACATACCAAATACAAACCGGTTTATAAGTCTTTCAACAAAACAAAGACACGTGAACAAGACATATTTATTGTTAGGTATATATATTCTTCGGCGTTTACTTCTTAAAAATCTAATGCATATCGTAAGATAAAAATCACGAAGAGAATTCACAAAATTATTAAAAATGAAAAATTCGTTGCCAATTAGGAAGGACCTTTATACCAATATATACCGCATATATATAGAACATTGGTACCCCAAGTGTGTGTGTGTCAATGTCAACCCCCAAGTGTTTATGTTTCTTACAAAATTAAAGTCCCTTTGTTGCTAAAGCACCTGATATTTAATTAAATAAAAATAATAATTATCGGGATGAAGATATATTCCCTAATAAGAACCATATAGTGCTTGTATAACCACAAACCAATAATTCACAATTATTATTATTGTTTATTGTTGGGTTGTTTATAGCATTTTGAGTTTGGAAGTATCGATTCTGTGAAAAGTAATTTAACATATATATAGAAGGTTTATGTGGTTTATACATGTATATCACTATGCGGTTAATCGCCAAAACAAAACAGACCTATGTTTTGTTGTTCATTTGACGATAGGTAGAGTAACAAGTGACAAAAGCTATTAATCGTAAACAATTTGATCATTTTAAATTTTCGTACTAATTTGTTACTAATTCAACGACTATAAAACGAAGATTATTTAAT